AAATGTCAAGTTGGAAAGCATTCCTTTTGATTTTGCTCTTCAAGTTTAGTTTTGGATAGGATTGATTTCTGTGAGAGAGAAGGGACGCTGGACCCCATTTCCAGCATAGCTGAACCTGGGTAATGGCCCCAGTAATCTTTTCACCGGGTTGTTTGTGTGGAATTTCCAGCCTCGTCTCTTTCAAAGGAATACAAAGGACAACAATGTTTCCAAAAAAAAACAAAAACAAAAAAAAACGCTTCTTCGATTGGAGCCCCTCCCCTGTAGAAAGGTAAGAAAGAAAGAAAGCAGAGAGTGCGACAGATAGCTGCGACCGCCAAGGACAGGGGTCGCAGCGGTGCCAAACACAGAGTGGACTATCTTTCTTTGTTTTTTTTGACTATCTAACATATCCATGATCCCACGGGTGATAGTTAACAGGTTACAATAACAATACCGGTTCATAATAACAACACGACAAGCGACAACTTGCTGAATTCTATGTTAGAACATGTCTGATAGGGGGCTGGGCCCTTTGTCGTCCAGCCCCTCCTCGTCCGTACTGACAACTCGTACTTGCATTGCTTTCGTTTCATTGCTTATGTTTCTTACATTGTACTCTACAGGGACGCTGGACCCGATTCCCAGTAGGTGATGCTCCCCACCTATAGATGGAGCCTCCCAGACGGTGCTAGTGGTGTCTGCTCTTATCAGCACCCCTAGCAGCCGCTCAGTTTTTTTTTTTTTTTTTTTTTTTTTTTTTTTTTGCTCGTGGGAAAATAGTGGGCATGTGACGCGCAACCTCACGCCCTGTGCTGTCTTCCGTTCGGAGTGTTAGTCATGCGGAAAGAGGCCCAGAAAAACAGCAAGATGGGGTGTGTCAAGGATTTTTGGAAATTGAGTGTGGGGACACAGACGGAACTGAAATCCCCCGTGTTGGTCCGATGGAGCAGGTTGGTTAGTTTCGCGCGTCGCGGAATGCGCGCACGGACGTGGCGCGAAAACAAAAAGACCCAAATTCAATTCAAAAAATACTTACAGGCTTCCCACCAAGCTATAGCCCGTCGTTTGGAGCAAAAAGGTTTTGGCACGCTTCGCGTGTCTCGTTTCCGTATCAAATCTCGTCGTCGCTCGTTGGTTAGTTCCGAGTCCGACGTGGATGGTCTCAGCCATGTGGCTCTTTCTTTATGCTCGTCTTCACTCCGCACACGGTAGTGGAAACCCCTGGACTCGTAGTGCTCAAAACGCTGACATTCGGTGCACAGAGTGCGCGGCCAGTGGGGTTCTACTGCCGTCACAAAATTGGTCGAGTTTTTTTTGGGCCAAATTTCATGAAAATGCACCTTTGGGTTGCTGTTTTATATGTTTTTAATTGTTTTTTTTAGGGTTTTTTTCTGTGATGGAGTCGTAAGACGTGCACTCTATAGATTGGTGTGAAGTGTTGTTAAAATAACTGTCTGTTTTTTTTATAAATGGGCCTGAAAAATGCGTGCTCGGTTAACCTGCTCTCCACACGGAATGACAATCAACTCGTTAAATGGCAACAATATCGAGTAAGGTGGGAAGTGCGTATCGATAATAACAAAGCCCGCATCTACGAATCCAGAACAACGATTTTCGGGAGGGAAGTAATATTGTCCGTCGATTCGTGCAATGGCTTCTCGTACGTCCCACTCGCATACACGTGTCCTTTCCTCACTGCAAGGAAAAGGTCGCGTTGGGATGGGAGATACGAGAGGCTGGTGCCCAGTCGAAGGATGCTTGTCAGTCCACGTATCCATTAATCACAAATATCCCGAGACGTCATTAAAAACGGAAATCATTCGCGCAACACTCAATCAATCCTTCTTGGCATGAGAGAGAGAGAGAGAGAGAGAGAGAGAGAGAGAGAGAGAGAGAGAGAGAGAGAGAGAGAGAGAGAGCAAACACAGATCGGCTTGATCACGGATATGGCTACGGGTTCGATCAACCCAACACAACGTTGGTCCGTGGGCGCCTTGTTTCTCAGGGCCGCCTCGTGACTCGGCTGCCGATTTCGTGCATCATAAGGCAGATGGCATGCGCAGTGTAAACAGAGCTACGGATCTAAACACTCTTGCATTCTCGAATAAAATCCCGACGACAATCGTCTATTCAACAGAAGAGTCACTCATTCCCTACATGCATTCACTGTGGAAGGTGCAAAAATGAGACATGCACAGGAAAAGATGGATCGCATCACTCAGTACAGAGGCATCCACCGTTCACAAGACAAGAAAACAGGGTCCTTGCGTAGGAGGATTAACCCAGGAAACTAATGAAAGAGTTCCGGAAGAAGTTCCCTCACATAGAATGCCGACTCATTTCCATTCAAGAGCGGGACAATCATTCAGACACATCATCATTCAAGAGGAGAGAGAGAGTCAAATAGAAGATGACAAGGTCCGAAAAGAGAAAAGTTCGGTGTCACCGCCTTACACTCACGCCAAGGGTAACAATCCGCAACTAAGGCACATTCGCCGTTAATTCCACTATGGCCCTGGGCCATTCACTCACTCAACTCCAATCATCAACCCTCATATCCGCACCGACGATCCCGGCCGTCGCATGCTAACTCCCACCATTGCGATCGTCACCCCGCTGTCGTAAACTCGACACGGTTCGCCTGGATCCCACAGTCCTTCGTGGCGATCAAGCGCGCAACCGGCCAGCCTATCGTCAGCCCGACAGGACTTTCCGACTCGCATCAATCCAATCTGCCTAGCCACTGCTTCCCGAAAGTTGGCTTAGGAATTGAGAACGTAAGACAAATTTGCAGGCGCGCTTGCGGGTTTTATAGTTGCGAGAAAGGAGATAGAAGGGGGAGAGAACGACGGGAAGGTGGGGGTGTAGGAGGAGAAGGAGGAGAAGACTTTGAGAAGAGCGCTCCGAGAACGCCATGTTGATCCCTCGGAACTCAAGGTTCAACCAATCAGATCCGTCGCGCGATAGGTAGGTCCTATCGATCCACGCACCTGATTGGCGAGCGGGACTTATCGAAGGATCGATTGGGCGTCGTACGCCAGGCTCAGAGGGTGAGAAGAGAAAAGGCGCGAGAGGTGGCGCAAGACGGGTCCAAGATTCAGATGATCGAGAAAGGGAAATGGGCGCGCGAAAGCAAGGCGAGAGAGAGAGAGGGAGAAGGAAAAACAATTACGGGGAAAGAGAAAAAGGAGGGAGAAGGGAAGGGAGGCGCGGGAGGGAGCGATGTGGGGGACAGAGAGGAAGAAGCTTTTGCATGCACGGCGCCGTCAACAAAAAAAGAAAAAGGCACCGAAACAGTTACAGCTTGCTTCTATCCCAATTCAAAAATTGAAGTCACCATATCCGCGCGTGAAAAAAAAAAAAACGATGCGGGGAAAAAAATCCTACGCCTATTCGTATTTACGCAAAATTCCGAGAGTTTTCCCCGATGTGCCCAAGAACATTTACACACCCAAAAAGGACACGTCGAAGTTCCGCTTATCCCGGAGTTCCCAACTACCGAGCCCAATTCCTAGCGTGCTTGCTACGGCGCGCGCAATTTTCCATGTATTTCCCGACTTTGCAAAAGGAAAAACAGAACTCGTCAGTCGAAAGAGCTCTAAAAAAAAAAGGAAAATGCAGCACCCGAAAGCAAGAAATCAAAACGGGGTTTTTCGTGGGGTTGGTAGGATACAAGCAAAAGAAAGGGTACGAAAGATAGCACGGGTTCCTGAAGTGGTTCGTCACATATGTGACGCGCAGGGGGCTCCAAAATTATGTGATCTCCTGATTGCATGTCACGGCGAAAAAGAAGAGGGGTGAACAGAGTGATGCATGAGGAACCAAACGTATCAATAGAGCAGAAGGAAGTACAAGGAATGATAACTTGAGCTGCGGATGAGATGGCGACAACATCCGTGGCAAGATCTTTGCAGCCCTGTCATATGCAATCCTCTGCCTCGTGGAGATCGTCCAGGTGACGCCATCATGGTCCAACCGATCTCCGTGTGCTCTGCACCCCTGCTCGTTGCAGTCCGTCGAATCAGCGTGTAGGTTGACGTCATCGTCGATGGCGTGATCTTCGCGTAGCTTACTGATTCGTGCCGATGAAGGGAGGAGAGAAAGAAAAGAAAAAAAAAGAAAAAAAAGGGGGGGGGGGGTCAAG